ACCCCCCACCCCTCCCATGACATGTTTCCTCATTTTCTGCCAACAGTGTAAAGGACTTGGTGACAGAGTGTGCCAAAAAGGCCAACTGGCTTTCTCTAAATGGGATATGATGTTTGATATGCTGTACTAACACCCAGGGGCACAGTTACATACATACCATTAAGGATGAGTCTTGTTCCATTAATGTTGACACTTTCAATCTCTTTTTTATGCAACTAGGAAAAGAAAAAAATGGTGCATTTTATAGTAATAATACATATTCAGTTCAATAGGGGGATGTTGTAAATGTCCCCAAATAGACATAATTTAGTGCTTTGATTGTTAAAAATGCCATTTAGACTGCTGTTTCAGACTTAAAGTCAATCATTATTTTTAAACTATTTGTGTATTTTTCTTGTATTTTTACAGACTAGTCTGCTTGAAGCAAAGAAAATTGTAGTGCTTCTAAAAATATATGTCCAGTTATTACATATCTTGCAGCAGCATGTTAAATACATATGTTTCAGTAGCACTTTAGTGACCAGTTGCCTCTAACCACAGCAATTCAAATTATGCATTGCTCAGTGGCAAAGAACTTTGAATGAACTGTTCTATCCAGACAGGGTAATTACTGAAGTTCCTCTTATTAAATAAAGTAAGAAAGAGGTGTGTTTGTTTGTGGATGTGTGTGCTTGTAACTCTTAATTATAAAATTGTGAGTCAGAGTCCTACATCAAGTGCATCTGTACAGCTTTTTACCCAATGGTGAACAATCAAATACTTCAAATATTGTTATAGTTATAATTCAGATATATGAAATAATTTATAATTTAGTTAAGTTTTATTCCTCCTAGTGACCTTAACACCTAGGAGATCCATGTGAAGGTTAAGGGAAGAATCAGGGTTTTGGAGGGAACCAGCCTCCCTTGTCCTTCATTTTGTTTTCACAGTATTTCAGAACTTTCCAATGCCATTTCCATCTCAAACACCTTCCCAGGTGCTGGTGGAACCTCTAATGGAGAGGAAATCACTGCAAGCAGCCTGCTTGCAGGTGGCACTCCAGTTTGCACAGAACAATTTACCAAAAGACCAGGGCAATATGAAGAGATGAAATCTGTCATGCAGTGTTACAGCATCAAAGGCTCTCACCCTCTGTGTGGGCAGTCACACAGAAAAAACCAAAACTATGTGGACTCACCTGCTCTGTTCCTGACATTCCATAGGAAGCCACGTGAAACACACAGTCAGCCCCTTCACAGACTGCCAGTATGGCACTGTAATCCCTGATATCTGTCTGTAATGCACAACAAAAGATATTTGGGCATGAGATCAAAGCTGCAGGTGAGCATTTGTCATACAGTGGGTTAGCACAGAGGGAATCCATATAGAAATGCATATATAGAACTGTACTTGCTGTACAAGTATCCTGGGACTCAAAACTGGGCACACCTCCCTACTTGCTGATAATTGTACTTTTCTTCCATAGAACCCAAAGAACTTTAAAGACATTCATTAAGGTTCACCATACTCCTGTGTTTATTCTACAGGTGGTTTAACTAAGGCCCAGATGAAGGCAGGATCCTGAGGGTCAGGAGTGAAACTGCTCCATGCATTACAGGTTTTGCTGGTTTCATTATTTCAGATATACTAAAATCCATTCAGCAAAACTGATGTGGGATGTCCACACAGTTAAAAAGGTTACAGAAATTTGAAATACTTGGCAATAGGTATTTGGATTCTGTGAAAACTAGGAAGACATTATGGAAAAGACAAATGAACTAACTTTGATTGTTGGGAAGATATTATTCATCATACCTGGATCCAAGCCACTCCACTGGGAATCACCCACAAAGGCTTGTGTATGTCACACAGAACAACAGAAGCTCCTATGTTGGCAAGAGCACATCCCAGCTTGTATCCACAATAGCCAGCACCTCCTGTCACCACGGCTTTCATATTGATTTTATTGAGTGTTCCAGCACGTTTGCTCTTATTGCAGTCAGAGGTTCGGTGGGAGGGTGTTGCTACTCCACTCATTTTTGGTTTTGTGTCAATGAAATACTGCTCAGCACTACCAGATACATGTAAAAATTCCTTCTACATGGTGAAAGTTGCTCCATAGCACTCCTGGATACAGACAATTTCAGGGAGTTTCATGTTGACAAGATCTAGTCACAGCAGCAAGATGTGGCTTTAATGCAGCCTGCCTAAGAGAGATAAAGACAAAAGCAACCCAAAATTTACAGTCCCCAGTTTACTGCCAAGACAGACATCTGAGAGAAGTGGTATTTCCAGCTTCTTTCTAAGTACCAGCAGCTAAACATAAATTAAGAATACACTGAGTTGTTATCGTTGGCAGTGCTGGAGTTGAGATAGATGAGGCTGTCAGGAGGGAAGAGGGATGCCTGATCCTTATAACTTTAGAAGGTGGATCAGAGAACAAGGCTATCAAATCCCTTGCTTTCGAGGGGAACTCGAATAAAATAGCTGCTATACTATAGAAAAAGTTAATAACTGCATTAAGAAAAAAGTACTCGTGAATCACTTATTTTCTGAGCATGGAGGTTCTTGCCCTTCTCGGGGCTCCTCACCGGCAGTCAGGACATTTCAGAGGCTGTGGCTACCGACTCCCCCCGACACCCAGTCCCTGCCCCGGCCGCAATTAAACATTCAAAGCCACCCGAGCCCCGCCGGGGCTCTCTGCATCTCACTTGCGAACCGGCGGGGCGGCAGCGCAGGGCCCCGTGCTCGGGCCGGGCCCGGCCGACCCCCGGCCTCGGGCGGCTCCCGCGGGCGGCGCCGTTGGGGCCGTTGGGGCCGGGCTCGGGCAGCGCCGCGGGAGCCGCTCCGGGCGGGGTCCGGCCCCGCAACAGCCTCCGCACGGCCCCAGAGCATCCCCGCACCCTCTCCTCCCGCAGCACCTCTGACACCCCAGCGCATCCCCCGGCTCCCACTCATCTGGCAGCAGCTTTGGGATTGCACGGCTTTCCTGGCATTCTGCTCGGCATCCCGGGGGTTCTAGAGCACGCCACGGTATTCCTGGGCTGCCAGAGCATCCCTGGGATCCCAGAGCATCCTACGGTGCTTCTTACCTCCGAGTGTCTTCACACAGCTGTGACTGCTGCGCTAAAGCATCCTGGCAGTAGTGAGGGCTCCGGTCACACTGAGGTACCTGTTGAACAGGTTGTTCAGGAAAAAACACCACCTCCTGCCTGCTGGTTGGACAGTCGGTGGCAGGACATGGCTCACAGAGATGCAGAACTTGTGAGACACCTGCAAAACAGCAGGAATTCCCAAAGAGGCACAAATAAACAAACAGGCACTAAGGGCCCTTTCCACCTGAGCCTCCCTGTGGTCATTTGAGCCTGGGAGGGTGTGAAAAGGGTCAGGAGCTGCAGAATTTCAGTTCCCCATTCCAGGGAAAAGTTAAGCTTTGAACACGTTTGTCTCTTTTGTTACAGCTGTGCTGTGTCTGAATGCTCATATTAAATTTTAATCACTTAAAGACACATTGCAGTTATGTTAGAGTAGGAGTAACTCAAACAAGAGTCAGCTTAAACTGAGACTCAGTAAGGACTCACAGAAATAAGAGAGCTGGCTATTCCCAGCTGGTACTGAGCATTGTTTTAAAATCTCAAATACTGCAGCTGTAAGAAAGATAAACAAATATACTGAAGGCAATTATTGTTAATCAGTGCTGCTAGAACAGTGATGTAAAAAGCATCCTACCCAAAATAACAAACCACAGGTTTGGTGTTACGGGACTGAAATGATGGGACTCCATGGGGACTTACAAGCACAAAGCCAGGGAATTCCTTGGTTGTCCTTCCTGAGGAGCATCCAAGCAGGGTCAGAGCCTGCACTCCTGTGAAAAGTGTTGGGGTAATCCAGGATGCATCCTGAGCTATTAGGCCAATAAAAGTGATGTGAAAGATTTATAAATAACTAACCAAAAAGAATGTTTGCATGCAGCTAAAATGCTCTCACTGGGAAGTAACTTTACACTTGTGGTTTTCTATTCTGGAGTTTTAGGGAGTACAGGCTTACATGGTACTGCCTGCCTGCAGCACTTGCTGGCTCAGCTGCAGCTCTGTAGTGATAAATTGTGAATTTAACTGGTTTTAATCAAACCTTGATAAAGTTCTCATATATACAGAGCTTCTTTAAGCTTCCTGTCAATTGCCAGGAATAGGAGACAGAGCTGAGCAGTGCCCCTGCCAAAGGAAGATGTACACTGGGAGCTCACTTTGTATGGATAAGGACAATCTCCAAATGCAAATCCATAATCAAGCAGACTCCACTGCTTTCACTGCACGCAGAACTATTTTCTTAGTGAAGAGAAAAAGAAACAGTAAAACAAATCTTTGCTTACACAAGCTGCAGTGGTGACTGTGGTTGCTCACACATTTTCCTGTCACTGTGTATTGTCTTTTACCTGTGACCTTTATTCTTCCAGCATTGCTGTTGGCCTCCTGAATATCCTTTAGATTTAGAGTGAGAGAATCTCTATAAACTTACTGGTCTTAAAAATCCTGTAACATGCTAAGAAAAGGCAAAATGAATAACAAGTGGAGATAATCAGATGGCAGAATTGTTCCGTCATTGTCTGCCATGACCCACTGTGGCCAGTCCAGCTCTCCTGCTTCATGTGGGGTGCAAGAGAGGGAGGAGCTGCTCCCTGGTCAAAGCAAAGCTGATTCCTCAGGAAAAAACTCCTGACATCTTTAAGGTTTGGCTGGGCTACACCTGGGGTGTACGTGCAGCACAGGTGGTTCACATAGGGCAATTCCCCCAAGAAGCAACTGATGTGAGACTTAAGAAAGGGGAAAAGAGAGAGGTTGGATTCTCACTCCTGCCTTGGTGCTTGGCTTCTCTGCTCACCCCAAAATGCAATTCCCTGAACACACAGTGTGTGCCAGCAGTGCTACAGGGTTGTGGAGAATGTGACTCCAGAGAGCAGTAACAGCTGGCTGAATTCCACCTTCCCACAAGCTCCTTAAAAATAGGAGGTTCGGTTATTTCGTTCAGTTATTATTTATTATTGCATTGAAAGGATATTATTTGATGTACAAACACACATAATGATATTTATTACATTTTTACAAAGCTTTAGAACAATACAACTATTTTACATAAATGTGATTTTTCACTCCTCTAATCACCTATTATTTATAAATATTTACTTTCCATATTTTTCCACTGTTTCCCAGGTCTCTGTAATTCCTCAGGCTAACTGACAGTAGCTGTAGCTTCATCAGAAGAGTTGTTTAGTCACACTTTTCTTCACTGGAGCTACGGGATTTGTTACAGCACTGGTGTCCTGTTGTCCAGTTCCTCTTCTTCCACCTTCTCACCCTCCTGAATTATCATTTTTAGAAAATGCTTCCCAGCATGAAACATCACTTAATGAAGGTCCATTAAAACTATTCCTGCACCCATTTGTGGTGACCTCCTTTGCTGTAACACTGTGTTGCTCTTGGGGAACATTTCCTGATACATCCTATGTTTTCACTTTTCTAGTTGTTTTTTCTTTGGTTTTTTTTTTTTCTTTTTTAATGAGGTCAGAGAAGTGTCATCATAGTAATATGAATAACAAAGTCCAGAGTGGCTGAGGAATGTACCATGACCAGATAATTAATACTCAGAAACAAAATGAAGTTTTCTGGAACAGGTGAGTAGTCATTTGATTTTAGAAGAAAGAAAGAATGACAAAACTTAACAAAATGCCAAAAACAAACACCATTTTAAGGAATGTGTGATCTTCTTGGCAGGTAGGTCTTGTTTTTAGGTAATGATCCACAGAATCAGCGAATGAGAATTTCTTTGGTTTGTAACCGAGCTGATTTCGTGCCTTGTCTATTCGGAAAGTGTGAGTTACGGTGACATTCCACACCTAAAAGCCAAAAGGACATTTATGGCAGTGACTTTAATATCCAGTTTTCTAGAACTTGGGTGAAAATATGTCAACAATGATATTACTATGGGAACAGAACAGAAAACAGAGCTGCAATGCAGACAATCCAAGGGGGGTATCATGTCCTTAATGAGAATTGGAGTCAGAAATATAAAAACATGATCTTTTTTTATATATTTACCTCATTCCTCGTCAAGAAAGGTGTAAAGCTAAAAACTGGCTTTAGTATCAGGTGCAAATATTCCATCACAGTGGCTGTGAAACAGAAATTACTTAATGAGACATCTGGTTAACAATAAACTGAGACAATGCTGATTTTATACATCCTGTAATTCCTACTGCCAGAAGGCACTGTTTAATTTATAAAGTATATTTTGAGTTTATGAATAGCCTTTAAACTTTATCTGCTATAAATAGTACCACATGGCACAAGTGACTATTCTCAATTAAAATCATGTTAATTTAAATAATTCCTGCAATTTGGGCCTCTGTGTTTTATAAAACCACTATGTATCTTCATAGGAATAAAAAAAATCAAACGACCCACAATAATTAAGAATATATTTTATTTTTTACCTGCTATATGAGCCAGGAGAACAGGAATATGTATCCAGGGTTTCCTGTAGCCTAATTTTTCAAACTAAAAAGGGTATAAAAACAAATTACAGAGAACTTATACCAAAGTGAGGGTGTCAATGAGGCATGAAAAAAAAAAAAAAAAAGAATGTTGACAAAACTTGTATCTAAACTTTTTTTTCCAGCTAGTGTTCATGTCAATACAGGTAGTAAGAAATGTAATTGAAGCCCACTACTCATTCTTTGGTGCCCACCTTCCACCCTTCATCTGCAATTGGACAGTAAAGGAGAGTAAAAGGCCATTTCCAAGGGGGAAGTGACCCAGACTGGAATACTGAACTACAGTTAAATACAGGCCCAAGTTTCTGCTGCAGTCATTTTCTGTGCTGGCATTGCAGGATCAAAACTTTGGCATGCTCCTAGAATCCCAGCCTGATAGTTCTGAAAATACAGTGTTGTACCTTTTTTAGCTTCTAAGATAAGATTCTGAATGGGCTTCCCCTCTGTGCCGCAGCTGATGCCAGGACAAAGGGATAAGCAATGGCTGTAGGAGTCCTGCCAGATGCCAGTGGCAGACCTTGGGTTTGCTTTATGAAATGCTGTCCTGCAGCAGGTTCTGGACCTCCCAGCTAAATCCTCTCAAAGCAATAAGGCCAAACTCCACAGTTACAGGTATCCCAAACTTCCCTTAACACCAGTGGAACTTTGGGATATGCAGGGAAAACAGGACCGAGTTTAATGTTAAGTAATTCAGTAATTTCTGTGCACTGAATTAATTTAGTTGGTCTGGTGTCCAGTCAGTGACAGGACTTGTGCCCATGTGGGAGCTGCAGGGCTGTGCAGTACTTACCAAAGGCACAATCCACTCAGAGAAGATGACATTTTCACCATCATGGATGTAATAAGCCTGGCCACTCTGGTAAAGGAGCAGAGAAAAACCAGTGACAAAACTGTGCACAGGATGGCATTTTCTGTCTGTCTCATACCTACCTACCTGTCATGATTTTGTGAGCAGCACATCAGCATGCATAAGGTGAATGTACAGAGATGAAGCTGCCTTCACTGGGCTTCACTGAGGTACCCCCAGTGGTGGTAGGGCTCCTGGTGATTAACCATTGTCTAGTGTAGACCAGAGCTCATTTTCCCCATGTAGTTGGAGCATTGTGTTCTTCATGCTGTGCTGGGCACAGAATGACCTTTGTGAGACCAATGCAAGGGGCAGCACTGATGGCATTTAACAAACACAGCTCTGAGGCTGAGTTCCAGCTGTGCTCTGGGTGAGGAGTCTGCCCAGCTCTGAGCACCTGAGCACCCAGGCAAACCTGGGACTCTGGGCATGGCATCAATCCAAAACAGCTGTGGCTTCCAAGTGCTGAACTGATTGAGAACACATGGGGAGGTGTTCACCTGTGTCAGTGCCTGTTGTCTGTATGTTCCTACCAATCTAAATGAATCTGGGACCTTCAGGAACTGGGAATGAAGCAGCTGCTGCAATGATGTCAGTCCTCTAATGCTTCATGGTCCTCAGACTGGTGTTGCAATTGTGACCAGTAGAACAAAAAGAAAAACCTTTAAAAATTGTCCATTAATTTTGTACATCTGTTTTTGGAATTTTCAGCTCTGAAAATTCAACTGGAATGCCTCAGGATGGTTGCTCTAAATTTTATGCATCTAGATCAGAACCTATTTTCAAGAGAATAACAGGATATATAGATTTGTGTAATGGTGAATTAATGGTATATTAAGCTAGTTAAAAATACAGTTTTCCCCAGTGACCCAGGAAATTATGTCTTTTCAAACCAAACAAAAACATCATCAAAATATGAGCAAAATGCATTTGCATTTGCACTGTCTATGTGCTTGTGGAGCTACACACCATTTTAGAGATTTTAGCATATGACTTTTTGGACACTCTTTGATCTCAAAACATCAAAACTTAAACCTGTTTGAGAACTCAGGCTAGTGGTGTATATATTGTTTACTTACAGCTACATAGCCCTTCTCAGAGGTGAGAGCCTCAGCAGCCAGTAAATGAGCTTGCACCAGATTTCCTATGTGAACCCAGTTCATCTGAACCTTGTGATTCCCAAACTTGAAGTTAAAAAGTCTCCGCTGGATGTTTATCTGTAGAAACAGAAAACATGAGATAACTACATTATTCCTTTATTATGCACTATAATATGATTTTGTCTCAACCCAAATACTTGGAATTTGCTGTATTTGTGTACAATTACAGCACAAGAAACCTGTCACAAGAAAAAACCCAGCTAGTGGGTGGTTCTGAAAATCAAAGATGGTTGCACAGATAGGCAGTGGCAAAATATAGTGACATTATATTTTTTGGCAGAAACTAAAGTGCATATTTAAAAGACAATTTCCATTATATGATAGGGATGCAAACCTAGTTCTTTTACCATGGCATTTCAGCCTTCCACTTTTCCTTTTCACTGAGAAGCCCAGCTTGGTCCTGGCCTGCAGTGTTGGTTTCCTGCTATTTGTTACCCTGCACCACATCACCTTTCCCCAAGCTTTCACCACGTTCCTGCAGGAATGGTTAGGAACTGCAATCAAGGTACTACCACTTGTGTTATGGCCTTACAACTACTTGTGGTGTCCTCCAGAGTTGAGTACAAGACACATACAGCTACTCGAGGCAGGTGCCGCTGCTCTTCGGGTCCGTAGATGCCCGGCGGGCGAAGCACACACGTGTGGAGCTTGTCCCCTCCTTGGAGAGAGAGAGCACAGGTGACTGTCAGACAGCTGTGGGAGCAGCAAAGGCCTCACACATCCTGGCTGAATTTTACACTGCCAAAATTAAGGCTCATTTTGACCATTCTGAGCGGTTCGGCTTCCCAGGAACTTGATTTCATTTCTGTGTGAAATTGAATTCAGTAGCTGTGACAGACCTGAGCTTAGCAGCTGGAAAACCTTCTTGGGATTCCAAGAAGAACCCATTGGACAGTGCTTACAAATTGGTATTATCAGAACAGCTAATTATCCACTGAAGAAAGGAATAGAAACAAATAAATCCTTATTTCAGTTAAAGTTTTTTATTGATAAGTAAGCAACCAAAGAAAGGAATGCCCATTAACACTCCTAAATGATAGAAAAGCCCCAGATGCTTTATATGTACCTTTGAGTAAAGTTCCATTAGCAGCAAGAACCATCTGGTCTGCAATTGCCTTGGTTCTGGAATAATGATTAAATTGCTATAAGGAAGCAGAGTAAGATAATTACTGAATCTGTAAAGGCAAACTTATTGTTTATGACTGACAACATTTCAATCTAGCCAGCTCACAGATATCAGCTGGGCAAAACAAAACTAGGAATAGTAAGATTTAGTAAATATATAGTTTGTTTATGACAATAAAAAGACTGACACTTTAGCGGCAAAAGTTTAGCTTCAGAGTGAATTTAAGTCCATTCATATTTACTTAACTCACTTTTTGTGCTTAATGTACTGAGAACATCCACAGTGAAACAGCTTCTGCTATGAGAACAGCCTTTACACAATCTACCCTTTGGAGCACAGGAAATGCCACACCATCCCATGGACAAAATACCTTTTCCAGTGGAAAATATGGTACAGTTTCTTCATCTCCTTCTTCAATAGGATTCCCTCCAAACACCACATTCACTGTACTGGTATATATCAGTCTAGGGATATTTCTTTGTTTGCAGACTACAGTGATACACAAAATAAATTATTTTAAAACAAAAATAAAGAGTGAGAAATAGCTGAACTGGCAGATTTTATTTTTGAAAACAAACATTACAATTATAGAAAAAAAGGAAATGCTTTAATTTTAATGTTACCTTATCATTTAATATAATATTATCTTCTATTCAGCTGGAATTTTTCATTGAATATGTGAATATTACACATTGTGGTCACCAAATGTTTCATGATGAGGTACCTGTAACTATCACATTGCAGTCACTGGGTAGAGGAATTATCTTGGTGGAGGAAAAATTCCTCCTTGAGAAACCTCTCTTAAAATATATTCATTTTCCAAACTGAATACAAAGGAGATGAGTAAGAGCATTTGTTGTGGTCCAGCCCTTGGGGCAGCGTGGGGAGCAGCCACCCCAAGGCCGCTGGGTTACCCCTGTTCCATGAGCTGCCTCTTGCACCCCACTTTGATGGAACATGAACTCACACAGGAGCACAGCCAGCTCTGCCCACAAGCCACAAAACTGCCTTTGTCTCAGTCTGTTCATCAGTGACAAATGGTGTGTTAACAGGAAAAAACACTCTGCTAGTGTATAATCAGTCCTGCCCTAAGTACAAAGGAAATTAATGTTATTTGCAAAACAAAGACTTAATTATGGATTCCAGTCCTGTGTAGCCAAGATATTGTAGCTAAATTCTGCTGCCTATCTGTCAGTGCAAACTTGAATAATGTAAATTTCCTTTTCATGTAACAATATTCCTAAAAATGAAGAGAATTAAAGTGCAAACTCAGGAGTTTTTAGGATCTACAGAGCAGTCTGTCCTGCTGGTTCATTGGCTCATTTTGAAAATAATGTATGTTAATTATTGTTGTAAATATTTGGGAAAAAATACAATAATAAGGTGTATTATTAAAATGTAGATGAGCAGGTTCATGCTCCTCCCAGTGCCTTGGTCTGCTGGGAGCCTATGGAAATTTGGCATGATGTGGGTTTGGAGCTTGGGCAAGGAAGAAGGCAACGTGTGGCAACTCTTCCTTCTAACTTGTTTAGAGTTTTACTTGCCTACTATTCAATTTCTGCATTTTTTCAGTAATAACAGACAGGCAGCATGAAAATGAGTCTGGATAAAACTGATTTTGCCATTTTGCAGCCTTTTTTTCCCCCCACTTAGTTTTTGAGGGAAAAACAAAGAGAAGGCAACTTTGGTATTTGCAGTACACTTGGAAAATGTTCTTCTGGAATAGAATATACTGAAAGAGATCTACTGGCATCTTCCAGAGACAGTAGTTAAGAATCTGTGTGTAATAAAAAGGGATCACAGAAAGCAGAAAGAATGGAAGGTTTTCTGTATTAATGTGATGAAATAATAGCTAAATATACCTACACATCTGTGGTGCCTGTTACCAAATGTTTATGGCACAACAAACAGTACAACAGCTCTCATGTTGTTTCTATAAGGAAAGAGGATAACTCTTCTCCATTACATAAAGGCAAAAATAACCAGTACATGGAGGAGAGCTTTAGTTGGCCTGCCAGGGAATGAAGTCCAGGTTGAAAACCTATCCCCAGTTCAAACCAATGGCAAATCTATCTGCCAGCTTCAATGGGACCTGCACACTCAGGTTTACGTCATACTCTGACAGGAGGGAGAGAAAAACCTCATTTTACTGCCTGATCTCCACAGGAAACATCCAGTTAGAAAGTTTTTAAATTCATGATTTGGATCAGATGCAGAGAAAGAAAATCTAGGTACCTACCATCAATTATTATTTTTGTGCCTCCAACATTTATGGATTCAATCTGATCTTTCTTTTGAAGCTAGAAATAGAATTTGCACAAGATTAAATTAATCAAACAAGTCACATTTACAATATGATGGTTACAACTGCCAGATCTAGAATAGCTGAGGGCTTTTTGTGATACATGGTACAGTTCTGTCTGACACACAGTGATTTCTGACAGTTCTCATTTTTGTTGTCTTGTTCAGTGTATGAGCAAAGAAAGCTGAAAAATGAAAGATAAAATGCATCTAAAAGGAAATAATAATACTTCAATATTTTGTCACACTCCAGACAATCCATGATATAGAAACAAGAATTACGGGCAGGGGTGATGCTCCCTGAAAGCTTTCACAAGTTCTTGTTCCATGGCAATCTGTCCTGTTCCTAGAAATAAATTAGTAGGTTCATGATTTTTTTGATAACACCTTCTGTGACTATCACTGTAATTCAGCATAACATATTGATTGTGGTCTGTTTCCTCATGACTGAGTTCACAAGAAGAAAATGCATCAGTTTTGGTTTTAGAGCAATGCTGTCACTCTTCTTCAGATCAGAGAAAAAAGCTACACCTTCTTATCCAAGACCTTAAAACTATGATCTCCTTTTTCTAGAATATTTTGTAGTACATTACTTTCACACTTTGACTTTATTATTTAAGGAATACCTCCCTTATTTCCTGTATGGATGACTCAGTCTTTATAACAACTTCTGACATAAATATTGTACAATGACATTCTTTGTTATGTGCAGACAGTGTTTTTCTTTCTCAAAAATAACCAAAGAAAACTTAAGGAAAATGGTACTTGCTTGTTCCAATCCTGACATCCCACATGCAGCTACATGGAAAACACAGTCAACCCCTTCACATGCTTTGAACACTGCTTCATAATCCCTCACATCACCCTGTAAAACAAGAAAAGAATGGATTTTTACAGGTAGAGATCCCTACATTCTCTATAGAACTCTATTAACCATGGCTAGTATGGAACATCTAAAGGTATTCTGGTCTGTTTTTCACAGACGAATAAAATATTATGAACAGGCAGAAAAAGCAATGACTAAGAATTTTGCCAGTATTTTGTTGCAAAACAAAGATGACTCTTGTTGGCTTCAATTATAATGCGTATTTTCACACTTAGTCCTGCAGCCTCCAGGCTGGCAAAACTTGTTTGACTTGAATAGGAGCAGCAAGTGCTCGAGGGCTGGAGAATCCAGCCCCAGGGACAATAAATCACAGCAGGAAGGGCTCAGCTGTTTGCCTTGGAATCACCAAATATTTCAAAATATTAGGTATTATATTATTTCCTGCAATTAAAATGATAGAATAATGTAGAATAATTGATAGAATAATATGAAGAGCTAATCTAACCAGTCTTTAACTCTCAACTTTTTTCTCCTAAGGTTGCCAAAGTATTTCACAAATACAGCTGACTTACCCCTCCCACCCTCAATGCAATGTACAGGAGCTAACCAGTGTAAACAATATTAGCCATCTGCAAATCACTGCTCAAGGTTCAAACTCTGAAGTCACTTATTAATTCATTTTCTGGGACTCCATAGTTCCATTTTCCAGGTAACTCTCCTACACTTTGTAATATTTATCTTTCTAAATTGATTTATTTAAAAAACTCTGTTCTAGAAGATAATTTGTGAGATTTTGAGTCCCCTTTAGAAGATGTAAATTGCCATCAGTCCACAAACTTAAATCAAATTATGTAGACTTATAGCATTAACAGATCAAGCTTATGATGTTTGAATGGTTCCTCAATAATACTTTATCACTCTTCCATATTCTGTAGAAGTTGTTTATGAAATTGAACATAAAAACATCCTGGGTCAGACAAGACCTGCGTGGCCTGGTATTCTGCTCTCCCCAGAATCATCCATGCCCCTCTGCCTCCCCTCCACCTGCCCCAGAGGGTGATGTGGCCCAGAGGAGAGAAGCTGGCATCACAACGTCAGCCTGCAGGACCAAGGTCCTGTCATCCCTTCCAGCTTTGCCATCAACTTCCCAGCAGCTCTAGCAGGGCTGGCAAATGCTCTTACAGTAAATGCTCAGGAAAGATCAGCTGAGCAATACCCTGGGTTTAGCCAGAATTTGTGAGACATGACAGGAGCACTCAGAAAGTGCCCTGAGAGCCCAAAGCTGAGCACCTGGAGCAGCTGTGAGAGGTACTGGGGAATGTGTCCTCCATACACAGCAGTGAGCTGTCAGGTCCTAGAGACCTCTTGTGTTCCCCCTTTTCTCAGACACAGTAATTCCTTGAATTGTTCAAAACCAAAAAAGAATCAGTGCTCATAAATGGGTGCTGCAGGAAGAGCGTGAACAGGGCAAGCAAATGTGGGGCTTTCCCCTGAGTGCTCTTCTACTCTTGAAGCATTTTCATTCAGAAAATTTCTTGAGCCTAATTTAATTTATCTATTCAGCAGTTTCCAATGGAGGTAAATTTTTCTTGAGGCTTTGTACATGCCTTGTACCCACTGATGGCCTTTCCTTCTTGTACTGGGACAGTGGATGATGCCACTCACAGCCTGTAGAGCTCTCCCACTCCTGAGTCACCTCTTTCCCAGCCTGGAAATCCCAGAAATCCCACCTTCCTCAATCATTCTCTGCATGGCAGTTGTTTGGCATTTGTGATCCCTGTTATTGCCCTGTCTTGGCTCTCACCTCTTTACTTGAAATAATTCCCCTGAGCAGGAACCTTTGTCCCTTCATTGTTCAGTTTCCCTGGTGCTGAATGGCACCTCCCAGCAGAGCATCACTGGTGACACTGGAGACACTGGGACCCTGTTTGCCATCCCTTAATCAGGTACTTATGCATGCAAGGACCTTTTAACACAGCTTCTTCTTGTCCTGAAAGGCTTTTCCATGAATGTTTTAATCAAAGGTCCTTAAGAGGAAGCCTTGGTAATGAGCATTAGACATGGAACTCCAACACACCTTGAAGAAATCCGCTCCGCGTGGGATTTCCCATTTGGGTTTGCGAAGATCAAAGAGCACAACAGCAATTCCTGAGCTGACAAGGGCACATCCCAGATTGTATCCCAGGTAGCCTCCACCTCCTGTCACCAGTGTCCTGCCTCTCCTGGGAGCCAGCAGCCCAGCAGGCTCCGTCCCTTGGCTCTCACAGGCTGTGCTGAGCTCTTCCGTGGATCCCTCTGGCATCACGACTGCAACAGAGAAGGTCTCTTGAAAATTCCTGCATAATGCTTTGAGGTCTGGGTAAATTCAATGACTTTCACATTACAATGCTTCCATACTAGTTTTATTATCTTAGTATGTTTAAAATGTATAAATTCATCATTTTGGTGATGGGTTTTCTGTGCATAATGTTTAATGAGTCTGAATACTTTCATATTCCAAGATTGAGACTTTTCCTCATATCCCTAAATTTCATTTATATAGAAATGAAATTACAGGATTTTAGAGCCATTATAATTACCTAACCTTTACAGCTATGATGGCATTTTTTAATACTTGGTTTAATCAAACATTTTATCCTTGAAAGCTCATTAACTTCTGATATATTAATACCAAATTTATGTTATCCTACTAGTCAGGAAAATAAACCAAGACTTTAGATGAGGAATATGAGAAAGGATTCATTCTAGTTTTAAAATCAACTTTATTTCACATTTGGGTCTTTAGCAATGATAAAAATTTGTTACTGTTTTAAGCTTTTCTGGTTATGCATTAAATATATTTAGTTTTCTGTCCAGTTCTCACTAACTTTTGACCATATTGTTCTCAGTAGGGCATTCATAGACAGCTAAACCAACAAGGGGCAGAAAAGATAAACCATCTGCCCTGTGGGTTCATCTAGCTGGGAAAACTGATTAGAATATCATTCTAGGATAACAACTGCATGGGAGTTACCCAGCTGTACACCTTGTTCTGTATTGCAAATTAGTTTATTCAACATTGATCACTTGTCCACAAAATTTAATTTTCCCACACAGAGAGCCCCTGTTGTCCTGATTCCATGCATGGCCTTTGCCCACTGGGATCTAGACTCTTACAGCCCCAAACAAAAATCCAGAAGAAATCTGCAATCATTCGTGTCACCATAAAGTGGGAGCCCAGCTGGGTGCCTGCAGCCTAGTACAGGAATAGGGACCCAATCTCTGCAGATGATTTTGGTTTTCTCATAGTTGGACAGCTCCTCAATGAGAGGAGCCTCACACTTGAGTACAGTTTGCTCTCAGCCATTTACACCAGGCTTCAGCAGAGCCCAGGCAGAAATGGGGCAGGGCTGGGAGCTGGCAGCTCTGTCACCCCAGGGTGACAAAAAAATTCTAGAAAAGTAACACAAAATTCAGCCACAGCACACAAAATTATGGATTATTTTAGCCATTGCTTACTCAGTATTTTATAATTTTGTTTGTGATATTCTCCTTATTTTATATGTTGGGTTTTAGATTTCAGACACAGGAAAGGACCATATTCTTCATGCTGTTACATGGTTTTAACACCAATGTCAGCTCACTCAATTCAGTAAACTGAGTGGCAAAACACAAGCTCCTTATGTTGAAAAACATCCTAACAATTCAAAAATGAAAAATAATCCATGTTTCCAAACAAAATTTAAATTACAACTAACGCAATAGAACTAAAACAAGTATGCTGTCCTGTTCAAGCAAGGAAATACAAATTTGTATCTCTAGAGTATGCTCTGCAGGAGTCTTAAGCAACATAAAATTCTTTTGCCTTCTCTTCCGAGAAAAAACATCTTTTTATACACAGTAAGGAGAGGTAAAGTCAAGCTTATCATATATATTACAAAAAGACATTTGAGAAATGGTATATATTTGAGTACTTGTCATTAATGTGTATATATATATATATATCAAGAGATATCTTAAGGATATCACCTTAAGGTTTTAGTAAGCTGGAGGTTGCATAAAAAAGTTTAAAGTTTTCTAGAAATCTCTTTCTTAAAAAGCACTAATAGCATTAGAATATTAATCTGCTTCATGGATTTAGAAAATTGCTTTCAAATTTTGAACATAAGCAATTTTGTTTTTGAAAATGCTTCTTTTCAGAATCAGTAACTTTCTTTTTTCTTTAAATTTATAGGAGCTATTCTTATTTATTAATGTATTCTGCATGATGAGCATTGTCAATCTCATGCAGCACATGCAGTGTGAGTTGCTCTTAGCTCCCCTACTGTCATTTCAAATATCAGAAATGTTCTAATTACTTCCCATAAAAAGTTAAAGTCAAACCCATCAGGTTTTAAAACAGCTGAAGAAGCAGTCAGTACCCTTGGTAGAATCCTGCTGTCAGTGTCTCCCAGGCCTTCCTGTCCAGGTAGGAGGGTGAGATGTCTGTGCTGGACAATTCGTGACTCAAGGGCATCAGGTGCTCTCAGGCTTTCAGAGCAGTTCAGGTGTGCTCAGGCCTTTTGCTGTTCCTGCTCCTTTGTAGCTGCTGCTTGGCTGGGAGCCAGAGAAGGGCAGGGCTTAATTGGTACATAATTTACGTTCCTTTTCAGGAAGAAAAATTAAAAATTCTCCACATCAGACCCTTCTTAACAGGATGGTAGCTCTCACTTACCTGGTAAAAGTACAAGACACTACACAACACAGATAAACCACTGGCACCATCATTCTGTAGATAAACTACTGGAGAAGGGACAAAAATCCTCTTTGGCAGTGCTACTCAGCACTTTCATCCTGACTTTTATATCTCCATCCCCAACCCAATTCTGTATTTGCAGAGAGGCTTAACTGTAGGCACATGGGTTGTTCTCTGGCTTCCAGGATGAATATGAAGGTAATAAACTACCTTGTGCATAACAGAACAGGAAAAGGTGATGTATTGTTAAATAATGCATTTTAAATGAATGATGAATTAATGAAATTATTAATAATTATATATGTCCTCTGTCCTAAGATTTTAAAGCACTTCAAAAAGATTTGCTTTTGCGAGTTAAACAATGAGAAATCAAAGCCAACATTTTTAAATGGGTGTGTCTAAAATTAGATCTCAAAACAGTAGTTAAGATGCTAAAGAAACACTCCCACATCTAAATATAAATTACTACAATTTTCAATGTTTGCATGTTAGAAATTTCTCAAGTTCACAGGTAACCAGTTGCAATTTAAATGTAATTTAATTTAATGTTCATGTGCTGACAAGAACTCAAACTGACACAAAGGCAAATGTATTTTGACATACTGTGTATGCTCTGAAGTCCCTATTGTTGGCATTAGAACCAGAATATGGAACCTGTCAAATGAATCTGCACTTCTTGGATTGCTGAGTGAGTGACAAGCTCAGCTCACAGGAAAATCCCCAAGAACACCAAACTGTCTGTTTTGAGCTGTCCACAGTCCCAGCTTTGACCATTTAATGCAAGAAATAAAGTGTCCATTCTACCCCTGAACTATCCCAGAACTCCTTCACAAGTCAAAGCAGCTTGTCAGCTTATCCAAAGGATATCAATCCCTCACTCTTCAGTGAAATTTAACAAAGAACATTTTAACTTGGCCTTGGTTTCCATCTTGGCAAGAAGGGGACACCTCAGAGGAGTTTTCAGAACTGGTATTTTGTACCTGTCCTGTTATGTTTATTTTCTTACCTTCAGTAAAGAAGAATGGTCATATTTTATTCAATGCCTCCTGCTAAGTATTTCTGCAAGAAACAGAAGCTAAAGTTACCAGGAGAAAAGCTGCTGCATTAAGATTGGAGCTTGCTTTTGGTCTTGAATCACAACTCTATCCTGCCTTTTTCTACTTTTTCTCCTATGATCATTCATAGTTCATGTAGGCACATAGAAACAAACAAAGCATCCAGTACTTATAGCAGATGACTGTAAAATACAACAGGAAGGTGTCAGGGAGTTTGTCCATTTATTTACATGGAGGAGGTCCACATTTCTGAAACGTTGTTTGGTTATCAAAATGTTACTCACATCCAGACTGTAAAGTGATGTTGAAATGTAATTGCAGTGTTTCATAGAGGAACCCAGGGTGCTTACACAAGTTCATTTCAAGTCACATGCTGCCAGAGCCAAGCCTGAATTGAGTAAGGAGCATTTGGCATAAGACAGACAAGACAATCTCTGTCCCCAGCATGCAAAGCTGGTCCCTGTGCTGGCTCTGAGCACTGCTGGGTACTGGACCCCAGAAGGGCTCAAACCATGGCCCAGAATGCAGATTGTGAGACCAGGTCTGTGCCCTGGGCACTGTGAATTCACAGCTCTGCACTCCCAGCCCACAGAACAGGAGCTGTGCCCCAGCTGTGGGGTAAACTGAAGAATGGTTTTCAAGTGTGGAGGATCCTGTGCAGAAAGGAGCCTTTAACAGAGTAACCAGAGCATGAGGAGCTCAGCAGAGGCATGAGTGAAGATGACAGTGGATATTTGGTGTGAGTCACAGGCAGGATGGGATGTCCTGGAGTGCCCAAGGGCAGAGGAATAGCAGAAAATCAGAAGAGACTAAGCTCTCTCTTCAACCTACGCAAGGACAGGGTTTTGCTGAAATCCCTGCCATACAAAAGATGCCCTCTCTTCAGCTGACTTACTAAAAATTTCTGCATCTGAGCCCTAAATGAGTAGAGTTGTCCAAGCTTGCTGTGTTTGAGCTCCTGCTGGTGCAGTTGCTCACATGCAGATGCCCATCAGAGGTGCTGCCCCAGCCTGTGACCTCAGAGTGCTGGGACTCGTCTGGACAGTGCTGAGTCCCTCTGAGCCCCAGAGAAGTCTGGGCAGAGCTCCTGTAGGGTGTGAGTACTTTTGACTAAGGGAACTTATCTCTTTGTGACTACAAAAACAACCACCCTCATAACAAGGATGTCTAAAACAGCAGAGAGCTGAGAGAAGGGAAGTGACAACAGTAAGATCTTCACCCTTTATGTGAGAGAGAACAGAAAATGTTGAAAAGCATTTAAATCAGGTCTTGCAATGTTAATGGAAGAGAAAAAGACTAGAGCTCTCCTCTAATTATGTCTAGCTGTGCTTAGAATTTTTAGTCAAAAAGATTAATCATGGGATCTGAATTTGGGAAAGGAAACTTCAGAATATTTTTCATATAACCAAATGCTAAACATTGGTACATATCAAACATTTCTAAGGCATGAAGTCATCCTTAAGAAAGTTTACCAACACAATATTGGTACAACAACAACAAATGCAATCTAAGACCCAAACTGTTATGGTAACACAACATTCTTCACCTTCCTTGCTTAGTTAGAGGAGTAAGACACAGAGGCAAAGCAACTCACCCATGCCATGCTCCAAGTCCAGGCCAGAAGGGAAAGGAAGATGCAGATCCTTATTCCTTGCTGCAAAGAGATCAGGTTCTTCTTAAATCCCTCCATTCTTCATTAACATACATAAATATTCTCACTCTATCCTTCCTTTTTCCTGTTTCTTTGTGTATTTGTGTTACAGTTCTGCATATTTCACTGTTTCCTCATGCAAGGAATAAAGCACACATAAATACAGCCTTGGAATGTGCCCCATAAAATGCTTTTCAAATGACTTTGCTCTCATTTCCTTTGCATTCGTGGTTACTTTGCATGTTACACAGATTGATTTACAGGTCAAATGAAATGATAACTCTGAGCCTGCATTGCCAAGGCAGGATGGAATTACAGGAAGAAACAAAGCAACATCTCACAGCAGCAACCAACATCCCTGCATCAGCCTTTGGGTCTTGGTAAAGAAGAGGACAGTTTATGCAGTATTTGAAGGGAAGGAATACAAATGCATCATAAATAAAAATACTGCACTATATTGTACTGAATAAAGGCACATTTCTATACAATTAGCTTGGCTTGCTACACATGGGAATCACAGAGACAACAAAAGTGTCACACAAACTATACAAATGCATGTTTGAAAGAAATTATAACACCAATTCCAACAGGTTTGCTAGTTTTTACTCCATTTAGAAAAGCCTTGGTACCACATTAGGAGTGGCCACTGTGACAGAGCAGCCCATGTCACTGAAAGGAGATAAACTTGTGGCTTACAAGGTCTGCCTAAGCTACTTATCAAATTCTGGGTAGAATTTAAGATTCTAACTGATGAACTCTCACATGATATGAGTCAGAGATTATCAGACTCTTTATAAATTACTTCTGCCAGCACATTCACTATCTCAAACCTAAATTATCATTATTGTAATAGAGACAGGGAAGAAAAAGGTTATTTTCTGATGCTGGCAAATTTCTGGAATTGCATTTTCCCCTCTTCCTCTCTCTTCCTATTACTTATTTATTTATTTAATCAGCAAGCAAATATCTCCTAAGCATCTGTCTGAGATGGTTTCACAAAGGACCAAAGTTCAATGGAATGAAATATACATCTGATATACATCTGATTTAGATGCATTAAAGTGATTCCATGAAAATTCCAGTAACTTAGTTGCATTAACACATTTGGGTGCCTAAGTTCTTGGAAGTTTGTAGTTACAAATCTAGATAAATGCTGACAGTAGCAACATGCTTATAAGGCACAGAGAAATTCTTACTGAACAGAATTCTGAAGGACACAACACACAGAGCCATTTCCTTCCTTTGAAGCATCATGAGCTGCTGGGGTGACTCAAATTCAGGCATATTTGGATGGAGGCATTTGTCACTGTGCCAGGCTGTCACACTCCTCACCTGAAGCAGCTGTGGCTGAACCATGCACAAAGGAGTTCCTGAACTGCCAGTCCTTGCTCAGGGTTATGAACATCTGCACCAGTCAGACCTGGCTCAGCAGCTGGAAACTGGAAATGTGGCAGCCCACGAGCTGCTCCACCCAGAAGTTCCCAACTCCTGCTGTGAAAGCAGCACTCTCCTGAAGGGGGCTGCACACACACTGGAGGTAGCAGCTGGTTCAGCCATTTGTCTTGAATTCATTGCTCACAAATCAGCATGTTCAGTGACTCACAGCAATGACATGACCTGCAAACTAGCTGGCAGGAAAATATGCATTTGGTCAATTATAAAAGTCCTCTTTTATTATGTCTTGAATACAGCAGGCTGCATTCCAGCAAGCACAGAGCAGGAAAGCAAACGACACAGAGCTGACAGAGCCACACTGCAGTCACTGACTGTTACTCAGGTCAGCCCCAGTGAGGAATCTCCTGAAAATGCCCTCCTGGCTGAGCAGGCAGGATGGGAGTTTCCAGGCAGGTAGCAAGGAGATGGAATCTGTGTTTTAAAGGAAGGAGCTGCTCTGAGGAGGTAGCAGGGCTTGACCAGCCTGTGAGCCCACAAGGCTTTGGCTGCACAGGCTGAACACACAAAAGAAGAGGACTTGGATGGGGTGTGATGGCTCAGTTCTGTCATCCCTGGCTATTTTACAGCTTCTTTGCTTACACAGATTCTAACAACAACATTTGCTCCTTACTTTTCATTGCATTTTCTTGAACAGGAGGCTTAGAAGCCCTTGGCTCCCAGCCCCAGCAAGGAGAAGCTCCTGAGTTCCCAGCACGTGCTTGGAGTGTGAGCTCATGCTCAGGAGAAGCAGAGAAAGGAGCTGTGCTCTGCCCAGAACAAACAACCAGCCCAGCCAAGCCAAACAGCTCAGTGATGAGTATTAAAGGAGAATGCTCCAAACTGGGGTTACAGATCCACTGACAATCTGCCAATGGAGACACAGTGTAAATGCAATTATTTGAGAGAGTAAAACCTCTGAACACCAAATATTGTATGGGGGGGAAGGCTCTAAAGGAGAGCTTTGACAATTGCAGTCCAACACAACAGACAAATATTCTGATGCTTATCCACATTTGCAAAATCCAACATGTTCTTACTTTGCAAAGAGCCTCTGATACCATTTAGCACATCTGCAGAAGTGTGTTTCCTTTTAAGTTTTTTAAAGTACTTTTATAGGAATATAAGACTATGCTACAGAACTGTGACATTTCTTAAATCCTCCAAGAAACAAATAAGTAACCTTTTTTGGCAATAAAGAAAGCTCATCCTTTCTACCTGGATTTACTGTTTTAACATCTCTGTTAGTAGAAATCCTCATTTTATCAGTGATCATCATCTATACCCCAAACAGAAATGTAACCAATCCTATAATTTACAATTTACATTTTTCACATCAAATCATCTCAGCAGTTACACACATCCACAAATAAAATCACAGAAAGTGATGCACAGCACAAAGCATCAGTTGAACTGCAGCATTCTAGGAAAGGCTGGCACTAACATGGAAGGCAGGAGTCACCTGGTTCAGAGCATAAAACACTAAATAGATACATTTATGAGAGAAGTAATTTTTAATTCTTTATAGAGACAAAAGAGATAAAGGGACAGAAAAGACACAATCTCCCATATCACAGCATATCCAGTGTCACACTAGAAAAGCAAATGACTCCTGAATAAATGCAGATCAAGTATCTTAATTCTGAAGTATGACTCCATTTTTATTATATTGCATATATGAAACAGCTGAGATGAATTTCTAACCCTTTGAAAGACAACAGTGAACATCTACAAAATACTAGTGAGCTGTACTAGTCACTACAGAAATCAGTAAAAAACAAGTATATTTCACTAATCAGCTGATACTGGCAAACATATTTTTAGTCTTTCTAGACAGGAAATAGATAAGAACAGAATTGCTCAAAAGATAGGCAGTGTCTGGTTAGGAAAACACAACCAGGCTACATCAGCAACAGGGAATGACTTTCTTCATGTCTCATCATTTCTGAATCATCAGCTCTAAATTCTTCTTTACTGCCAACACAAAAAGCAAAGAGTCAAAATAATTATTAGCAAAACTTCTCTGTGTAAAAACATGAATTACAAGTTTTGTTTTCTGCACTAAGGTTATTTCTTGGATTTTCTATGCAAAACTGGCATAAAGAATTCTCTTCCTGACATCACAGCCATCTGTCCCATCTGTTAGGGATAATAAGCACCAGAAAAAGAATTCTCAAACCAGCAGACAAAAAAGGCAATTTAGACATACCAGCAACTAATTGAAGAAATTATTGATACAACCCAGTAAAAGAGAACCAAAAGTTGTGATCCTGTATCACTACTGATACATACACTTTTAAAATTTCTATTAGCTGTATTGAAAACTATCCTCTACTTATATTTAAACTTTGTAGAGATCAGGGCTTGATTTATTTTGAATCCTGCAAAATCTGGAAGTGGAGTGAGTGCAGCTCTTATCTGCAACTTCTTGTCTTGCTGGCAGTTGTGACAACAAATTAAAAAAAATCATCTTTCTTTGTGCTTGAAGCTGAAAGGAGTGAAGACACTTTGAAAAGAAGCAGGTGAATGGTATCATTCCAAACCTCTTCAGGATCTTCTCTTCATCTAAAATTTAATCCTACAAGTGAAGCACATGAATACTTTTAAAAATACAACTCAAAATATATAAAATGCATGGGCTCCAGCTCACCATTGACAAAACAGCAATGGAAAACCAACACAACTGAAACTAAAAGTAATAAAGTTTCCTTACTTACATGTTTTATTTGGGCTACAGTGCTATGCCCTTTCTGGAGAATTTTAACAGCAACACCTTCCTACACACTTCACCAGCAATGCAGTTTTCCTCAGAATGCTGAGATACAGAGACAGTTGTGGAACACCAGCCTTATCTCTGCGTGCCTCTAACACCTTCCTTGCTGCTGCAGGATGGTTTTATATCTGCTCCCTCTCTGAGCATCTCTGGGGAGTGACCAGCCCTTAAATGCTGAGTTCTGCAGACCCTGACACACTCACAGACACCCTCTCTTGCACACCAGCCTCCAGGTTCCACTCTCCATGAACCAGGCATTCTTAGCCAGCAGGTCAGACTGGATTTTTTTTATTCCTATTTGAATGACTGGGCAATGTTTTTGAACCAAAATACAAACTACAGGCATAGAAACAAGGATTTTAAAACACCCCAGTCCTGCTCTGTATCTGCCTTACCCAAGCCCTTGATGAATATCTTGGCAGGCCAACATTCCCTAGTGCAACTCTGCAGTTGTCTGTGCCCATTGTTTTCCCTCAAACAGCTCTGTGACAAATGCTTCTGTCTTGTTTAATCCTGAGAAAGTACTTCCAGCCACAATTTCTCTTTTCCTGTGGTTTTCACTTTGCCAATTGAAAGCAGCAGGTTGGCTCTGGGAGAGGTTCAGTGTGCCCAGCTGCCTCCCTAGTGACAGTCCCACGTGTGCTGGGGATGTCTCTGTGTTAGTGGGGACCTTTTCCAGTCAGGCTTGTTCATTGAACAGATAAATCATGCAGCAATTGTTATTACAGCCACTACACCTGGCTCTGCTCTCTGATGTGCTTCACTGCTTGCTAGGCCATGAATAACTACAAATACACACCTGCCTTGCTCTTTTCACCCCCAACAGCTCTCTTTGAACTCTTCTTTGGTTATATGGGGTTTTACTGTGGACTAGCTCAGCTAAGAACTAAAATCAATACAAATGTTTCCAATTTTGAAAAAAGTCACCGCTAGAAATGAATAAATTTAATAAAATATTACCCTCCTACTGAAATACACAAACTATACATAAACTATGATGTAAATGTGGTGTCTGTTTACCTGAACACTTTTTTTGGAAGCCAGAGTTGTCTTTTTGGTTTGTGTTCCATTTTTCAAGCAATAATCTGTTTGAAAGAAAAACAAACCCCAAAGAATGACAGCAGTTTGTCACAGAGGCATAGAACACCTTGGAGTCTCTGCCAGGCCCTGTCCTTGGGTGACTTTTCAGCTATAATGCATTTTAAACTTCTTTGCAGGAGCTTTTGCCTACTATTCCCATTGAACTGGTGCTGTCTGGTTCTGGGTAGGCAGTTAGGAAAGGTAACAATGAAGAAACATAAATCTTCAATTTAATTGTCCTTCACTCCTTTTCTAGAAAATTCTCCAGGTCTATTTTTTTATAAAACAGACATTGGGAGTCAGATATTCTTGTCTTCATCCCATGAAATAATAAATAAAAAGATTATTTATAAATACTCACCTCCAAGATTTTGCCTGCTTTAAGAAACTTCTAGCTTTTGCTACTTCTTGAGTAAGGTTCTTTAGATCATCTCCTTCAAAGTAAGGGAAAACTGGATTCTGAAAACACAGTTAAAATGTTTTATTTGCACCTGTTTATTATCTTCTGTTTCCACACCTGAATTAACTGATCCCAAGCTCTAAATTTCCCTACTTGCAGAGAAGCTCTCGGTATCACAAGGGGAGAGCAGAGCCAGCCTAGATTGAACCTGGCTCTGTTCAGGAACATTTTTCTGCTCTGGCAATGCCTGAGGTCTCAAGCTGGAGAATTAATGTGCTAAGCACTGCATAAGGATTTTACAGTTAAATGAAACACAAGATGGGAAGGATAAGAAGACAGTAAAAGCTGAAGTTAGCTTAAAAACCACATGCAGACACACAATGTATTTTGTACTTCTCTTTCAAAACCTGCATTGCACTCTGCATTCCTTTCATGGGCTTGGGGACCTCACCAAGGCTGTCAGCAGAAAGGCAAAAACAGACACTAAGATTTCTCCTTTTGGTTTTAATATGATATATCTTAGAAGTTTTGTATTATTTTTTCCTCACTGTTTTTCTTTTATAAATGAAGTTTCTCTACTGCTGAAGAACTAAGTTGCAAAGAAACAAACCAAAGTGATTTATTTAACATACATCTTCATCATCCAGGCCCTCTGTCAATATTCTGTGTGCTGCTAATTGTCCATCTTCACCTCCAGAGCTGCAGTGGAAGCGCCCTCCTGTTTGGGAAGCAAGCTTCCTCAGGAATTCAACAGCCCCTCTGTCAGCACAAAGTAGAAAGCTACTTATGAAAATTGTTTTCTGAAAGCAACAGCAAAAGAATTTCTAAGAACTCCTCAAAAATATGACACCAAAACAAATAGACTGGAGGACATAATTATAAATTCCTGTA